TCTGGTACTTTGGCATGAATCTTCTCTTGGGGCCAAATGCCCAGAAAAATGAGGCAGTGGGGTCAGTTTGACTAATACTAGACATGCAGAAGGAATCAAAGACCAGACTATCAACACCACACTGAAAAACCCCAACTCCTTTTTTTCCTGTGGGCACTGCTATGAACTGGCTATGTAGGTTCAAAACCAAACAAATCCAACCAAATCAATGTGGAAAGCAGCCTAAAGATATTCTTTTAAGGCAACGTTACACAACACGTCTGGAAGTTGGCATGGTTGCTTTTTATCACCTGGAGCTTTCTCAAGCTGATCTTGCATAGCAAGCACATAAATGAAAACCCATATAAATGGCTTTTCAATTCCAGCTCAATTTTCAGCACAAAGGAGTCCCAGTAAATTCAATGAATTTACTTATATTTCCCAGTATGTATGTGCATGTTTGCAGGATTAAGGCCATACTTGGAACTAAATACACAGCTTCTGGTTGCAATACACGATTGCAAAATGAACACTGGCTTTAAAAAAATTGTCTGTGGTACAGCAAATACCTGATATATTCCCAGAGCAGACCACAAGTCAATTCAGACAATGCTACTGGAAAATTTTTCCCTCACTTCACTGAAATAATTTAATTTAATTTCACTCCCTTATTCAGAGATGAGCTCCATGCATTAACAGTCACCAATTTTTTTTTTACATGAAGAACCCCAGCTGACTCTTTCAGTTGGCAGCATTTTGTTCTTATTATTACTTGGTCATAGCGTGAAATAGTCTTAAAATGAAGAACATAAAGCTCCTAATTATCTTTTGAAATTGCCAATTTCTTCATAGCTTCTATAGAAATGCCCTCCTATTTTGGCAGACAAAAACACGAGAAAAAAAGATCAGAAGGAATGAAGCTACTTCAGACCTGACTCGAAAAATAATCAACATTCAAAAACTTTGCAGAAGTGGTGATGAATTTGCAGATATTTTTCTTGCACACTATTTCAAAAAGCCAGACAACTTTTCAGATGCACAGGGCACACGACTGCAGACCCCCAAAATGCCTTAAATTCTCTCTCTGATATCTTGAGACATGTAACAATTAGTGGTTTCTGCGTAATGACTAATTCCTTTCTTTCACAGGTTTAGCTTTCTTACTTAAATCAACACACTGCAGCAAACCATCATTCCTCTATTTCAATCTTTTCCAAACTCATTTTCCTTCTACTTTGCTAGTGCAACACAGGCAACACTTCCCAATTCGTAACTGGCATCTTCTGCTTCTCTCAGCTTTCTACACGGAGACAACAAACTATATCAGGCAGCTCCATTTGGTTATCTTTCTTCACGGAGACAACTAACTACATCAGCCAACTCCATTTGGTTATCTTTCTTCATGGAGACAACTAACTACATCAGCCAACTCCATTTGGTTATCTTTCTTCATGGAGACAACTAACTACATCAGCCAACTCCATTTGGTTATCTTTCTTCATGGAGACAACTAACTACATCAGCCAACTCCATTTGGTTATCTTTCTTCATGGAGACAACTAACTACATCAGCCAACTCCATTTGGTTATCTTTCTTCATGGAGACAACTAACCACATCAGCCAACTCCACAGAATTATGGGCTACAGGGACACATCCTCCTTTCTGTTGCACAGAAAGCACGAGGCCTCAGCTGGTCTTTGCAAAGTATTGGTGGGGAGAGTCCAGCTCCAAGCACCCCAGGGTTCAGAGAAGCTCCTCAAAGCAGCAGTCTGTTGGAGGGGCTGGTGGTGGGTAACTCCGACGCAGTGTTTTGCCTGTCAGCAAGGGGTCAGTTAAACAAATAGACCTCCCCAAGAGTATTCCCCCAATTTACACTCTCTCAGAACAGGCTGCTCCTAATGCATAATCACAGGTTCAGCTGTTCAGCAAGTGTTATTTTGAAAGACAGGCAGATTTGGACCGAGGAGCATTTGGAAACTGTATTTAACATTAGCAGCCTGGTTTTCTTCTTATCTAGGTTTTCTTACAATACTGCCTTATTTCTGTGGTTACTTCTACCATTATTTCACACTCCCAATTCCATTCTTGAAATGAACCATAGCTGCTATTAGAAATACTTTAAATGTTTCAAGCCCTCTTTGGTTCACAAACATAATAGCTAGTAATTCATTGTGGGTACAGTTAATTGTAATTGCAAAACTACACCCACCTAATTAGAGGCCAGCCTGAGGCAAAAATTGAACTGAGTCAAAATAATGGACTGATGTGAGTTTAAAATAACTTTATTGAACTAAGTGGATTTCAAGGACTTATATCAGCTGAAGGACTGAGCCTCCGGTGGTTGCTGTAATATTTTTAGCAGAAAGTGAAAGGAAATGTCTCTCAGTTTTCTTCCTTTCCTAGGCACATCATTTAAGCATTATATGTGGTTATAAACAGGAATGGATCCAAGTCACAAAACGTATGATCTGAATTGCAAATAGGCATTGCTCGTAACTGTTCTAACTCCGCAGGCTTTAGACGAGCACTAGAAATCAAGACCATATGCAAAGTGGCAGACCCAAGCTCTTGATGTGCCTGCAATGAAAAAGGTTTGCTGGAATAGTTACAGTGACAAGCCCTCAACTATAAATGCAGTTTATACCAGGAAGAGAGTTTCTAGAATGAAATCAATTATGTGAGCATAGGGGATTCTGGGTAACTATAACAAAAATCATGATATATCTTTTGCTGGTAGCAGAAATACCACTTAAAAATAAAATAAAAATCACAGCCTCTACCAATAGTGCTACACAGACAAGAAGTCTACTCAGACCTAGCCTCCAGCTTCAGAAGAGTCCATCCGCTACGTTTGGACCAGCTGAAAATAGGTTTTGTACAAAGCTCTCTGCCAAACCCAACTTGACTCTGCTGAATGATAAAAATCTCCTTCTGGGCTAACGCAGTACAAATATGCATTGCAACAACTCAGCTACGGCCCCCTGGTCCTGTAATTCTTGCTTTTAGCCTTGCATTTAGCTCAGAAGGTCCCTGAGCCAGTCCTGAGTGACTTTGACACTTTTTCACCTCAGTTTCAGAAATCACATACAGAAGGAGTAGCCTTGGGTTTCTCAGCTCTTCTTCTAGAGGTCACGGGCAGTGCCAACGGGCCCTTTTGAATAGCTGCTTTATACAGGTCGCAACTCATTCAAAAATCAGTACTTACTCAAGTGGGCAGTGGCTGATGAAGTCATGTAAGGAGGGTTCCTCCTGGGCATAGCCACCTCAGACATAGCAGCATATGGGGGAGGCAATGGAAGACAGTGTGACATGGGCTGATAGCTCTGCTGTGGAGGACGAGATGATGGATGGGAGGATGGGGAGGGAGCCTGGCCAAAGGAGCTGGGTGGGCTGGCGATGGTGGGCAGCAGGGAGGAGGGTGCAGCTCCTAGGTGTGGAAAGAAGGACCCATCCATGCTTTTCACCTGGGCCCCAAAGGGGCCTAAAGCAATTTGTTCTTCAGGATGCCCATTTGCAGGTACACCTGCCAAGGTCTCCTGGTCTGCTTTATCTGTGGGTCCCTTGAGCCTGTCAGGTGGGACAGGAATCACGGGCAGGATGGTGGGACTGCGTGGCTGCAGGGTGTCACCCCTCTGCAGAGGTGGTGCATTGGCAGTGGGGGAAGCAGAAGACCGAAGAGAGCATGAAAGAGAAGAGCGCCTGAGAGGCTGGCGAGAGGCAAAGGGAAGGTGGGAAGGATGGGGAGGTGGTGGAGACAGCGAGGTTCTCCTGATGCCTGGCGTTACGGTCCTGCGGTTTGGGCAGGCTGGAGAGGAGGAACCCGGGGCCATCGGCAGCTCAGAGGCTGAATGCCTGTGCAGGAGCTGTGGGGGCTCCCTGGATCTCCGTGGGGATCTGGGAGAGGACTGACTGGTGGGCTCGGGGACAGCGGGTGATGAAGAGCCAGCGCTGGCATGAGGAGGTGGGGAGGGAGGACCCCAGTTACTGCAGGCGGGAGGAGGAGGCTGAGAGGAGGGGGAGCACACGCTTATCTGAAGGGTGGAAACTAAAAGAACAGAAAAGACAAATGAAAAGAATAAGATGGGTACGTGGCAAGGAACGAAACCAAGGCAAAGCAGAACAGAGAAAAAGGAACCACAAAGTGAACGCGAACAGAAACTCAAACAAAGCAAAGAGGGGATGGTGCAGGCACCGGCTTGGGGGTTTCCAACCCTCAGCAGGACCAGGGGGACTGTGTGGAGCAGGACCCTGGTGGCACCGGCAGGCTGCTCTGGTGCTAGTGAGGTTCCTCCAAACCCTGTGTGAATCAGGTCATGATCATCACCCCTTGCACCTGGGGCAACTGCAAGTGACATTCTGGATACAGTGGTGGCCACCTCATAGCCAGGGAAGGGATGGTCAGAAGCCCCTGGAAGCCACATCCTGCTCCTTGTGGCTGCCGAGGCAGGATTTTGGCTATCTTCCCTATGCAGAATAGCACACAGTAACCTCTGCTGAAACAGAGTCCAGCAACTTCTGCCGCTGGCTAAGGTAGGTGTGCGTGTCTGAGCTGTTTTCAAGTCAAAAAACCTAAAAAGTTTTAACAGCTGAGGAAAAATATTTGACTTATGTGGCCAGATTCACTGAAAAGACTTCCCCAAAACAAAATCCCAAACACAAGATGGCCATCTTGGCTTGCTTGCTTCTGCCTTCTTTCAGAGAGGCAAAGCCACGCTTTGTAGTTATAAGCTATTCCTGTCGTCTCTTCTCTCAGCTTAGTGCAACTTAATATGCTATAGAAGATTTTTGTAAGCTCATTAAATATATATATTTTTTCCATTAAGCTCACAGAAGACTCCTTACTTCATGACCGCAAAATCCCCACCAATGAGCATCTAGAGCTATATTTTCCTCTGTGCTGCAGTTTGCTTTGTGCTGCAGAGCGATGGGGTGGGCCTGACCTGGCACATCCAGCACGTCCACCCCTTCGTGCTGGCATCCCCTGGAAACATGGAGTCACTCTAGGGGTGGCCGTGCTACCTGCTGCCCTCGTGGGTCTGGAAGAAGTCTGGCTGGGCCCCCTTGGTACGCCTAAAATCCCCCCCAGCTGTACAAGGTTTGCCACGTGCAGAACCTGCCTAGATCCACCTGCATCCTTGGGCCGGAGCCTCTGTGAAACACCACAACCATGACTAAATCTATGTACGTTTCTAGCTGAAAATGCTTTAAAGTCTAATCGTAACTATAACCACTTTTAGCAGTCTAGCTCTTGCGTAGCGCCACGCAAAACCCAACCACAGCTAGAGGGGACAAGCAGGGGAGTGACTGGCTCTGCTTGGTTTGATACGTGCCTGTGGTAGAGGTTCTTCTTTCCAGAGATTCCTGGCGCTGTTGCTGTTGCTCCATCACTTGTCTAAAACAGCAATGAAAAAACCCGGGGTCAATTATGTATTCTTTGCATTTTTGAGTAAAAGCTTTATACACTGAGAAGCCCTGGAGCTGTGTGTCTCAGGTGGCATAAGCCAGTCCCTCAGAAAAATGCTGTCCCCGTGGGATGGAGATGGGTTGGATTTCACTTGCCCTGGCCTCAGCGGTGCCATTGCACGTGTTGGGGAAGAGTAAAGAGGACACTGCCCTGCACCTGCAGGTCACTGCAGGGTCGGATTGATCCATTTAAGATAACTCCTCAAGGGGCTCTGCAGGAGGAACAGTCAGTGCCCCAGGTCCAGGAGAGCACAGCAACCACGCGTGTGGTCAACCTGGAGCAGATGAGCATTGCCAGGGAAGAGTAAGGGGTGTCTTGCATAAAATAATACAGTCCTGAGTCCTTTATGGCTCAGGAGCCCAGAGGACTTGTAGTTAAAATAAAAATATAAGGAAGCTTGATCTGCGTTTAGGTACCGACTGTACAAAAAACGTTTTGTCCTGATGCCCCAGCGCAGCCATCCCTGTGCCGGCCAGCGTGGCCACGGGGACCACGACCTCCGTGTTTCCTCCACAAATGTGGGTCTCAACATCACACTGCTGCTTTTCTGGCACCTTTCCCCCCAGGAGCTGCTGGCTCCCCTGCTACCCAGGCCTGGTGTCCCACAGGGAAATGCACTGCCAAGCCTTTTTCCAGCGTTTGCTCTCCAGAGCTGTGCAGTTCCTGGGGCCCATCAGCAGAGGTCTTCTCTAGCTCGCTTTAGCACTTCTGCTGAAAGAGCTGTCACTGACTCCGGCCACAAACCCTTCTGGGCATTTCTCCTCTTAAAACAGCTTGAGCGCTAAAAACTAGACCATTTGCCAGGCTTTTTACCATCTACACGGATGTGGACTAAAGATTTCAACAATACTAAAACACAACTCCGAAATTACCTTACTGGAGCACGTGGTAATAAGGTTTATTATCATTTTCTTCCATGATTTCTACACCAAATTTGCCTTGAATTTGTGCCACATGTGTTTTGGCCAGTCTTAACTGCATGGAGATTTCTTTTTTTCTGTAACAACTTTACTTCATGGTCTGTACAGTAAGGAAAGCTTAACTCTAGGCAGCGCTTCTGTTTTGACTCCTTACGTAGTATTTTAGAGGGGTCACCCTGTTACATTTTCATTTGTGCTTTCCTGAGTCTGCAATTTTAAAAAATTCTATCTTCTTACATACAAATAAAAGCTTTTTTAGAAAAAAGTCCAGAAAAATACAGTTACATCATGTAAGGAAAAAAAAATAAGTCTTAATTTGCAAAACAAATTTCTGGTATTTCAATTCTAATTCAATAGATGGGACAGGAAAAATCACAATTATAACTATTTGCTGCAGAGGGATCAATCCTAAACTGTTTTTTTTTGTTTGAGACATGCAGTCCATTGAGCACTGGCAATTTCTGTAAAACCATTATAGGCAGCTGAAAAAATTATTATATGTGCAAAGGAGAAACAGTTTTGAGAACAGCCATAGTTGGCCGATTCAATTGGTTTCATTTCAGCTATGACACTTTAAACCAAATAAATACAAATCTTTACTTCAATAGATATCCTGGCTCTTACTGGATAGTTACGGGCTGACCACATATGCAACAGCATCAATTGCACTGCTAGGATTTCAATTGTAAACACATGTGCTGAGAATTTCCTGAGCATACCATCCACCTGGCATTTATTAGCAAAATTTGGTGATAAAGAACAACTTGCCACATAGATTTTCCTCATTAAACCTGGGGGAAATTCTAGTTTACCTGGAGGATAGACCTAGAAAACTCCAGCCTGATGGAGTAAGATGGGTAAGATGTTTCCAAAACATCTCTAAGTCATTAGAGCTGCTGCAGAGCAGATGCAGGTGTGGGATGGTCCCCAAAACAAGGGTCAGCCACTGCTATCTGAAGTCATCTTGGCCCACGCCAGCCCTGTCTGCCCCTGGGCAGAAGCAGTCTATACCTGCCAAGTGCACCCTCCCACATGTGCTAAAAGGAGAAGTTCTTACACTCTTAGGAAGCCAAATTTATTCTGGTGGAACTAAATAAAGCCTGAGACTGGCACAAGGCTGCTTAAGGAGTATGCAAAGTATAGTATAAGAAGGGACAAATTACACTCTGACTTAAAAATATATTCTTTTAACATTTGTGCAAAGGTCTCTAAAAAACCTTTTAAACAGACACATTTGCAGGGTAGTTACCATAACTTCATTGCCTTGCCTGCTTATAAGATGTTCAAAGAATGCTAGGCCTAAAATTAGGTCTGCTCTATGCTAAAAGAATGCATCAGCATAATTAAAGCTGAAAATCCTCTAGTGCAGATGCAGTAATATCTAAGTGCAGCTACTGGCATAGCTTATTCCAGTCCAGTGGAGCAAAAGAAGCTTTTACAGAACCATGTGCCCTGTAGCAGTCGAATAATACCTACCTAAAAGTCTCTTACTGTCTCTAAATGAAAAAAAGTTCTGATGTAGTTAAGCTGCTCACACTTTAAATGTACAGTTTAGACACCTAAATTTGAGGTCTGAGTTACATATGGTCTGATGAATCAGTGATTTCCACTGGTTAAATGTAGTTTCCCTATACTTCTCTAACGGTTTTTTTCAAGAGGGAAAGAGAGAATTCTAGAGTGCCTATTTTAGCCAGCAATCCAGGTTACAAACTAGAACGCCACCATAACAGATTAACTCACCTTCTCTGTGCTTCCATCTCATCTGGAGATGGCCCATTCTGGACCTGGCGCTGGGCAGCTGGACCTACAGAAAAAAATGAAAGAATGATATTAGGAAATTAAATGTGGCTGACTTTTTCAAAAAACATGGCCACTCAGGTTAATTGCTTCTCCATCTTACTATGAGAGAAAACCCTCAAGCATTGTCGTCTTCTCTTTGCCTTATTTTTTTTTTTTAATTATTTTTTTCATATTAGGCAAATCATTGCCTCCGATAAATTTTTAGCCCCAGTGGGAGAATCCAGTGGCTAAATGTGTGAGCAGATTTGCCCAGAAACTTGGCATCCTGATAGCTGTAGACTACACACTAATCCCTTGACGACTGTGAAGACTCATAGTGTTGCAAAAGATGTCTTGTGGAAGGACAATTCATTGCACTGGGATGCATTTCCAACTTCTACTCTCCCTGGATTACTCTGTGCTTGCACAGGAATTCAACCACAGTGCTGAGTTTGTGAGTGTAAATGCTAGCTGCTCTGATGCTGAGCATTCTGAAAATAAAAATAATTGTTGATAATATAAGCTACAGTGGTCTTCTACTCAGTGGAAGGAGGATTGTTCCATTAATTTGACAAGGTGGGTTTCAACTGGGACTAAACAGATGAGAGTTCTATTGAACACAACAGCAATTTTCCTGATAAACGGCACTGAGAAACAGACCTTATTTTTTTCATTTTTCAAATGTAAAATTTCATCCTTTTAAAAGTTATCCAACAAGAGCAAATCAGAATTAAACACTCAGAAACCCATATATGTCACTCACAAATTGTTAAAGATATTTCTCTCCATTTCCTTTCTATGTTTCTGCCAAGCAGAATGTCATCTAAAAACAAATTTAGAAAGTATGACTGTGTGAAAATAGGAAATATGGCAGAAATGCATCGCAGTCAGAATTTCCTAAGCATTGACTGATTCTTATGAAATTGTGCATATTTTTTGACATGTGTTTAAGGACTAATATTTACAGAAAGGGGACACAGCACTTTCTGAAAATCGAGCCTGTGTATTACAGGTTTGGGTATCCCCAAAATCCAGCCAGCAAGAACCACTGAGTCACAAAAGCTCTGACATTTAAAAATATCTTAGGATTGGGTATGAAATGAAGACAGTTCACTTCTTTAACGTCTCATGACTGACAACTTAATATTGTTTGTCACAGGCCTTCGGCAAACTATTTAGACAGAAATGCCACACTTTGTAAAGATCACACGAAACAGTGAACAGGCAGGGGAGAGGGTGTTTTTTTTGGAAGCAAGCCTCAGGAAAAAACTTGGCAGGTATTGGGGAAGCATGGGGCAGGAGGCTCACGTGTAAGGAGTTTAAGGTGTGACAAGGATGTGGTGGTGTTGCGTGAATGCTTGTACTGTGCATCATCACCACTGAAGTGAAAGAAGGCCAGAGCTACCCCCGAGCAGTTACAAAGGGACTTGAAACTTCTGAACAGGGTAGGAAGACAGATATGGGTCCACCCCCCACCTGTGGGATGTGACCAGCCTCCCCACAGTTAGCAGTGGCACCGGTTTGGACCCCGGCTGTGGTGTGTGGAGGTAGCACCCACCTTCTCCTGCACACACACACGTACCTGTGAGATAATGCAATAAGCTGACTTCCACGTGAAAGATCACCTTCCTCACCAGCGAGCAAAGTACACCATGGCAAGCCTTAGCCGTGCTCATGACTGCACACGATTTCACCAGGAGAAAACTTCCCTTGTATAAAGATGCAGAGCATCATATAGATGCCAGCTTTCTACTTGGTAGGAGGACCAAAAGTAGGCGCCAACGTGAACAATAAAGGCCAGAAGATGAGGCGGCAGAAACAACATTTCTTCTCTGGCGATGAGTCTTGTCAATGTATATAGGAGGCTCTAATGATGCCATTTTAATCTGGTACTTTGGCATGAATCTTCTCTTGGGGCCAAATGCCCAGAAAAATGAGGCAGTGGGGTCAGTTTGACTAATACTAGACATGCAGAAGGAATCAAAGACCAGACTATCAACACCACACTGAAAAACCCCAACTCCTTTTTTTCCTGTGGGCACTGCTATGAACTGGCTATGTAGG